AAAAATCTCTTTAATGAGGCCAGCATATTATGTGGTGGTGAAGTCACTGGACTCGATCATGGTTCCAGTTTCAGACCTGGCAGTTTGCTTTCTTACTCTCTCTCTCTTTCATGAGCACACATGACCTACAGCAAATTTAAAATAATAACAATAGATAAGAATAAATAAATTATTCTCTTAAAAAAATCTATTTGTGGGTTGATCCCATGTCCTGGTGATTGAGGCAGCTAGATTTTACATGTCCCAAGTCCCAGACCTGGAAGCCTAAGAAACATTCCAGGCATGTGTGTATGCATGCAGGCCCAAAACCTAAAAAGGAGGGAGAAATGGAGAAGTGATTTCAGACTGACCATTTCCTATGGGAAATGCTTTCTTCTCTTCTTTTCTCACTATTTCTCTCTCTGTGTAAGGACATATTTCCACTAGAAAACAAAACAAAACAAAAAGCAAAAATACCTATTAGAATTTAGATGCTTTAATTTTAAATTTTGTCACAAATTGTTTATTGTATTGTCACATGACAATCACACTCTAATCAAAAGATGTCCAAAATAAAGATAAGAACAAAACATATCTGTTCCTTTTTTAAAAGCTTTACTGCATCTAAATAGTATCCAAAAGTGCACATATTTAATGTACATATTTGGATAAACTTGAAGAAATGCATACCTTTAAAATATCACTACCACTATCAAAAATCTAAACCCATCCATCTATATAATGATTTTTAAAAAAATTTTCTACAAGCAGCCGGCAAGTAATGTGGTGGTAAGGGCACTCATTTCCCACGATCGACAATGATTAGAATCTTGGACTTTTCAACTTGCTTTCTCCCTTTCTCTCTCTCTCTTTTTGGTCAATATAAAATATTAATAGTAATGAATAAAATAGAATAAATACTTTTGTAAAAATTATTTACTAGGTAAGACATTGGCATTTTCCAGACAAAGATAAGAGAAGTGAGAAATCACCCCACCCCCCATAAAAATGGTCATAATGTAATCATGATCACTGGAATTCATGACCAATGGAATTCCTTCCACTGGGAATTTTGGGCATGCACACATACGTGCTGTTTTTTTGAAAAAAAAAAAGAGAGAGAGATAATTTTATTATTATTTTTAAAGAGAAAGAGAAAGTTAAAGTCAGAAAGCAATTCATTAGGTGTAGGATTTGAACCATGATCAACCATGTGGGAGCCCATCACCTTATCACCATTGCCACCTTGGCCCTACCCAGTGTGTTTTGTAAGCTACAGGTGCAGAACGCAAGTTGCCAGCTTGGCCATCTGTGGTTTAGCAACCTTAACTATTCTGCCATCTCACCCCATGTTGTGCCTTTTATGAATGACACAAAGATTAGCCTCTAATTGGTTCAAACCAGATTTTATTTTATTTTATTTTATTATTTTTTATTTTTTGGAGAGGTTTTTGCTATAGGGTGCGTGCGTTCGCTAGACAGACAGAGAGACAGAAAGCGAGAAATCACCTCCCAGGGGAGATGGTCACGCTGCAATCCCTTCTCCTCCATTCTCCTCTCGGGATCTTGGGCACGCATGCACACGCGTCTGGCATGAGTTTTAAGCCACCGGGTCCAGGATGCGAACCACGGTCGACTACATCGGAGTCCAGCGACATAGCCATTACTCTAACTGCTGGTTCCCAAACCAGATTTTATTAGTTTGGATTTTATGAGAGTCTGAGTACAAATCACACTCTGGAAAACATACTGGAATTTTTCTGATGAGTGACAACCACTTCTCCTTTGTCTTTTTTTAAGAGTTCATCTTACATGAACCCCAACCTGCTGACCACTCAAACCTAACTGAGCCCTTACAGAAAAGTGAATATGTAAATAGAAATGTTAAAATAAAAGGATTACTTTATAGATATGTACTGTCCACTCTACATTAAATGCAGTTTTAATTTGTAAACCCTGCCTTTATTCCAGCTTCATCCATTTCTGAGGAAAAGCCAAGTGGTAAACAGCATTGGGTACAACATGTCCCTGGATGAAGAAAGAAATATGATGCAGTATGATATCCACAACCTTGTGAGATTTCCTAATCACAGTTGGTTGCTTGTTAAAGTAGGAGACTTTATCTACAGGAATTCCCAGGATCAAGGTTTGGTCATTAAAGAAGAGATGATAAACTGGTCTGTTAGTTTCAAAGAGGTA